GTTTTAGAACTCTGAAAAGTTGTTTTGTGCATGCATCATCTCAGTATTTATCCAAAGTCATTATCTTGAGTTCTGTGGATACCAGATATATAGGCTGCACTTAATTACTCTACCTACTTAAAGGCTGTATTCAGAGATCTGAAACCTGACTTCATCCTGTCAACCACATAATTCAACATAATGTCATTAAAAGGACTCAGTTACTTGGGGCTGGGTATAAAAACCCCTTCAGAATTATGTTTAATTGTCTAGTCCTGACCCCAACTAGTTCATTGTGCCAGTGACACATGTAGAGAGGTAGCCTAATGTAGGGTATAATTTGATTAACACTGAGTTTATTTTTCTCCCAGATTTCCTCGGCCTGTGACTGTGGAGCCCATGGACCAGTTAGATGATGAAGAGGGACTTCCAGAGAAGCTGGTTATAAAGAACCAACAATTTCACAAGTATGTGGTCATGACAGATTCCCTGTTAGGGTGTTTGCCTATTCTTAAGGAAGCTTGTAAAGGGATATATAAAAGAGGCATGTCTTTGCTATATGTGTTCACTGGCAGCCATTATCTTGGCCCTCAGGAGGAATGCAGTGCTTAGCTGGGGGAATCTTGGACAGTTTTAGTAACCCAGGAACCTTGTCCATAGGGAGAGAGAGCAGCCACCCAGATTTGCACAGCCTGGCTCCTTTGAGTATGAGTATGCCATGCGCTGGAAGGCACTAATTGAGATGGAGAAGCAGCAGCAGGACCAAGTGGACCGCAACATCAAGGAAGCTCGTGAGAAGCTGGAGATGGAGATGGAGGCTGCTCGCCATGAGCACCAGGTCATGCTAATGAGGCAGGGTGAGTATAGGCCTGTAAGTCTTAAAACTAGAAGAAGGACAAAATAACTTTTTTCAGGTGTTTCTTTGTATGGATCAGTAGAGAAAGACCTAAACTTCTACTTTTATTCTCTGAAATATTTTATTGATCTTGGTAGGCAAATGAGCTTGGAGATGTGGGAGAGGATACTGGATTCTGTGGAGAAGGAAATAATAGGTTTGACTTCATTTTTGGAATCTGGATACCTCAGATGGCCACTCAGATTAAATATCCCCTTTGCTTTCTGTATCTTTGGAAAATAATTGGGCTTGTATGAGGAGAATGAAGAATACTCTCAATCTGTTATTTTTCTAGATTTGATGAGACGTCAAGAAGAACTTCGGAGGATGGAAGAGCTGCACAACCAAGAAGTGCAAAAACGAAAGCAGCTGGAGCTCAGGTAACTCTTTTTCCAAATGTTCTTTCTCTGACAACTCTAAAAGGTAATGTCTCACTCCTGCTTCCTACCGCCATGCTACCCTCATGCATTTGTAAATGTGCTGGCTGCTTCTCAAGTTCTCTCTTTAGATGGGAGGTGTTTCAGCTTGTGGTTCTAGGAATTACCTGGGACCGCACCTAAAGAGAAAGCAGCTGAGTGCTGGTCTCATGAGGCTGGCTCCTTTGGGAAAGAACTTTTTCCCCTGAAGGACACACGTGGGTTGCTTTAGGGCTGGGCACATTTAACAGTGAGTTTCCTGGAGAGATGATAGTTTTCAGTAGGCTCTTGATCTCCTTGGCCGAGTCCCCTATTAAGATAATCTGCTCAAGTTCTGGAATGCCTCTGCTTAAATATCACGGTGACTCTGTAGGCAGGAGGAGGAGCGCAGGCGCCGTGAGGAAGAGATGCGGCGGCAACAAGAAGAAATGATGCGGCGACAGCAGGAAGGATTCAAGGGAACCTTCCCTGATGCGGTATATCTCCCATGTGCCCTTGGTATACTAGGCCAGTCATGATATGACAAACCCACCATGAATTGTCCATTAGGACTATAAAACACACCAGGCTATGACCGATTTTTTCATTCTGACACTCTTTTTAGAAAGAAACATTCATAAGACGGAAAGGTAAGGTTTGAAGAGGAGCTCTTCTTGCCTCACAGGCAATTTAGGATGAAAAGCTGTGGCCCAGTGTATGCTGTTTAAACTCAGTGACTACAGGATGAAATATATCCAGTCCTGTAGCAGCCTGCCTTGACTAGTCTTCTGATGTCCTCGGCAGTTGTACAGGTTGGAGCCCTAGAAGAAATCAACTCTCTCTCCCCTTTCATCTCCTTCTATTCCTAGTAGGAAACTGACTTGTGTCCTAGTAGCTCTGACCTTGAACTCATTGTACAACTAGCAAGGAGCTATTGATGTTCCTCAGCTTGGTCTCAGTGCATTTAGGATGTGTTATCACTCTTGTTTCCCTCAGTATATGGTACTCAGTGGATTGTGGTAGAATGAATGCAGTGCTGTCTTGGACTGTCTTGAGTGTTTTTTGTTTTTCAGAGAGAGCAGGAGATTCGGATGGGCCAGATGGCTATGGGAGGTAAGGACTTAGGAGGTTAATGGCTCTGATTTCCTTTTTTGTTTTGTCTCTGGTGAACTATGTAGCTTCTCCTACCTAGTCCAGATTTAAGGGCTTGGCATTTCTGGGAGCATCATCTTGGAGGGAGGGTAACATGTCTTAACCCAGAGGTCTTGTTGAATTGCTTCCTTTGGCACAAAAAAGATTGACAATCTCTGTCTCCTATACTGATCACACTACTATGTTTTAGGTGCTATGGGCATAAACAACAGAGGCGCCATGCCCCCTGCTCCTGTGCCAGCTGGTACCCCAGCTCCTCCAGGACCTGCCACTATGATGCCAGATGGAACCTTGGGATTGGTAATAAACTTCAGGGCCTAATAACTCTGGTGATAGGAGAAAGGACTTTGCTTTCGTGGTCCCTGGGCCTGCCATGATCTTGCAACAGATACCAGTTTTTAGGATCGTTGTTACCCATAAAATGTTACCTCAAGATCTTTGTTTTTGAATCTTGTGGAAACCCAGTCTTAAACTATATTTTATCTAGGAATTAAGCAAATACCTCTGTCTTACTGGCTAGTCTTGATTGACTGTTTAGTTGCTACCCTGGGTGAATAGGTTCTTTTTTAGAGGGAAGGCAATGAAGGCTAGGCATTACCACATAAAACAGACGTGAATCCAAAAGCTATATGGCTCATACAATCCTGAGGTGCTTTTAGTTCTAGTGTCAAACTGTTAAAATTGGATAGGCTTAAAGTTGCTGAGGTCAAGAGTGATGATCTGCCCTTGTCCATATACCTAGTTCAGGAAAAAGGACTTAGCTTAGAACTTACCAGCCTAGGAATTTAGTGTGTAATAATGCTTAGCCTATAGAAATAGGGATAAAAAGTTAAAGGTAGAATAGTTGGGTGGGTCCTTAATTCAGGCCTTCCTTTCAGGGACATTCAGTAGTGACAGGCTTAGTCACCCTTACCATCAGAAGCCTTGAATAGTTGAGTGGAAATGGACTACAGATTATTGGGAAGCTTATGGCATAGGTTCTATTATAATGTTCCTCTTTTTTTCTCTTTAAGACCCCACCAACAACTGAGCGCTTTGGCCAAGCTGCTACAATGGAAGGAATTGGGGCAATTGGTGGAACCCCTCCTGCATTCAACCGTGCAGCTCCTGGAGCTGAATTTGCTCCAAACAAACGTCGCCGATACTAATAAAATTGCAGTGTCTAGTTTCCCAAAACCCTTAAAAGAAGGACCCTTTTTGGACTAGCCAGAATTCTACCCTGGAAAAGTGTTAGGGATTCCTCCCAATAGTTAGGTCTTCCCTGCCTGTACTACTCTAGGGAGTATGCTGGAGGCAGAGGGTAAGGGAGGGGCGATATTTAACAAATCAGTTCTGTGTGGTATATCCTTTAACTAGCCATTTCTGTGTGGTGCATTCCTGAAGTCTCATGTAATTGTTGAGAGTCCGGGAGGGGCAGGGAGCCATGGAAAATGGATCCAGTTAGAGCCCCCCGTTAATCTTAATCATTCCACTCTTTGTCCATCCTGTTCTATTTGCTTTCTTGTTCTTACACCCCCCCACCCCAGAGACACTGCCACATATACCACAAAAACCAAACATACCCCAATGACCTTGGCCCCATTGCTCCATTCACTCCCAGGTGGGAATTCAGGCAAATGTCCACAGAGGTCACAGAGAGCATACATACGGTTCTGTTGTATCCCATATATTACCCCTTCATGTCCTACGGAAGACATTTTCTCTTAGAGGTTTTCATTTTAGTATATCTTTAAAAAATCTTGTGTTAACTTGCCTCCATCGTTTTCTTGGGTAAGAACAACCCAGGAATGGCCCTTTTGTGTCTATGATGTTGCTGTTCACAGCTTTTTTTGATAGGCCTAGTACAATCTTGAGAACAGGGTTGCTGTATGCTGATGGTCGGACAGTAGCTCTTAGCCTCGCCTATCTTAGGTAGTTACGCTGTGCATTTTTTATTGGTGTACCATGTTTGATTTGTCCCTGATATCTTTGGAGTTTTCTGAGAAATGGAGAAGTAATGCAACAGCAACTTATTAAAATACATTTTAAACCTTTTAATTTTCTGTGCTGTTTTTGAAGGGAAAGGGAGGGAGGGGAGTTCCGTCTTGGATGAGCACAAGGCTGTAAGAATAATCCGTTATGACCATTTGCTTAAAGTATTAATCACCCATTTAGGCTAACACGAAAGTTGGGTACATACTATGGCTGAACTGTTTGACAAAAGGTCCAGGGCTATTCATGGTAGACAGAAGTAATGAGGGTAGGAGGAAAGTGGCTGCTTTGAAAGAGGAAGAAAATGGGCTGGAGGAATAGGGGTACCCTCACCACGCTGGGAGGGGTCTCAAAATTGGTATTCATTTCTGAGCAGCTGCTGGTAGGTCAGAGGCTTGGAATTGGCATGGTAAATCTAAAACTGTCTCAGCAGTGGTTAGCTGACCTCACCCAAGTTCCAAGTCCTACTCTGCCTGATCCTTTTTTCTTGAGCCTCAGAGCTAAAATGTTCCTGAGCTCTTTCCTATTGGCTGGGGAGGCCAACTGAAGTTCCCTTGCCCATGTTAGGAGGTGTACGCCTCCTGAACTAAAGATAGAAACAGCTGGCCCTTCCAGGCAGCTAAAAGCCTCCGGACTAAGAGGTGTTCCCCACTCAGCAGCCAGACTCCTTGAAATACCCTTTCATTCTACCAACGCCTCCATGTCTCTTCTCTGTCATAACAAAGGCTGCGGGCAGCACTTTGACCCCAAAACCAACCTTCCTGGTGAGTAATCCTGACCTTGCCAAAGGGGCTCTGGGTGCTGGGGGAGTGGTAAGCTATGGGTAGTCTGTTAAAGGAACAGAGAAAGAAATTTAGTGTACTTGCCCTAATTTAATTGGTCTAGGTGAGCTTCATGCTTTACTGGTTTTTTGTTTGTTTCTGGCATCATCCGGAAAAACCGTAAGCATATAAACCTGGGGAAGAGGTAAGTGATATTTGATATAGTTACCTTTCTTTCCTTGATCCTTCTATTGATATCCACAGATTCCTGTTGCCATCACCCCGGGGTCCCAGTCTTCCATGATGCACTTAAGGTGAGGAATAGGCAAGGGTGGGGGATAGAAAGCATTTCCCCAAAGAAGCACACCCAGGAATCTAAGCTGAGCTGGGTCTCTTGTTATCAGGGTTGGTCCTGCTGCCGGAAGCGAACTGTAGATTTCTCTGAGTTCTTAAACATTAAGGTAAATTCTTTACTTCCTTAGATTCTGCCCCTAATAGAAAGATTCTATCCCTAATCCTCTCTCCTTGTCTGTACTAGGGCTGTACTGTGGGACCACACTGTCCTGAGAAGCTCTCTGAGGCCCCTCAACCTGAGGGCCCTGCCACAAGCAGCTCACTTCAGGAGCAAAACCCTCCGAATATGATTCCAAAGTCAGCAGAGACTTTGCGCCGAGAGAGGCCCAAGTAAAGAAGAGGAGATCCCTGGGTTTTTCCTACTTCATGGAGCTTCCTAGGAGTGATTGATGGGTCACTGAGGTTTGGGAACTAGGGACTAGAGATATGAGGAGACCCAAGTGTCAAGGTTTGGGGTACATTTTATGCCTTAAGGGAAATTCGTGTCTGGAAATTACGTCCTTTGCTCTAAGGTAGTATGGGGTGATGGGATAGATATTTTGAGTCAACAGTAGATAGCCCCTCACAAATACGTACTTAGCGATCATATGCGGGGGATTGTTGAGTATGACTTTTTTTTCTTTTTGGAAAAGAGCTTTAAAATAAGTTCTACATCAAGCAAAGGATATATTGGCAGCTAGGAGGCTGCAGAAAAGAGTGAGTTAATTTTGTGGAAATAGTAACAAGAAAAGTCATATGAGGTCTGCAATTAATAATGATGCAGTTCTGCAGAGAAATGTGATTAGATTTAGAGCAACTGAGTAAATGAGCAAGAGAAGCCCTGGGGAATTACCCGGGGTTCAAGGATTTGACATGTCCACAGGCAACAAAGGCAGTGGGGTTGCTAGCCATCTTCTCCAACCCTGCCCCGCTTTCACTAGACTTCTTCGATTCCATTACCACTGGTGGGAGTGTTGGAGCCGTTGATCACAGTTAGTGGGTCAGGACTAAATCAGACCACCCATACCCTCTAGGTCAGAGTTGCCTCCAAAACTGCTTCCACTAAATATATCCCAAGCCCTGGAAATGGCACTGGAACAGAAGGAATTAGACCAAGAACCCGGAGCAGGTGAGTGCCTAATAGGACAGGCTTCACAGAGTGGAATTTAGTGAAAGTGGCAATAAGGTAGAGGAAATGAATAGGTTCCTAACTCTATTTCCTTTGCCCAGGACTTGACAGTAGCCTGATCCGGACTGGTGCCAGCTGCCAGAATCCAGGATGTGATGCTGTAAGTGAGAGTTCGTGGAGGACTCAAGCATATGACTGAGAGATGCTAAACCTGACAGATGACTGAGTATAGATATGAGGCTGCACGGGGTACATTTTTAAATGACCTGATTCTTTTCCTGATTCTCCTTTATCTGTCTTAGGTTTACCAAGGCCCAGAGAGTGATGCTACTCCATGTACCTACCACCCAGGAGCACCTCGATTCCATGAGGGGTGATGGAGGGGAGTGGGTGGGCTGTTAGACCGGTTTCTCCCAATGTTAATCATAAGATGGAAGTGGTGGCTTATGGGGAGGGGAAAGGATATTTAGTTGAATTCTATTCCTACCTCAGGATGAAGTCTTGGAGCTGTTGTGGCATCCAGACCCTGGATTTCGGAGCATTCCTGGCACAGCCAGGATGCAGAGTTGGTAGACATGACTGGGGGAAGCATGTAAGTCCTGACTTTCCTGAACTCTTGATTCAAACCCAATTCCAGAAATAATTTCTCCTCCCTGTACCTCATGGCCAAGCTCTCTCTCTTTCCCTTCTTCGTGGACCAAATAAGAGTCTGCTCCTTATCCTTCACCAGCCCAGCGGTTTTGCAATTTGAGGCAGTGTTAATCTTTTGGAGACTCTGTCTCTTCTCCACATACACCATGAGAACTCTTCTTGGGTTAAGAGTTCATTCTTACCACTCACATTTCACACCTTCTCTTTAGCTGCCAGCATCTTGCCGTCATGATTGGCACCAGACAGATTCCTTAGTAGTGGTGACTGTATATGGCCAGATTCCACTTCCTGCTTTCAACTGGGTGAAGGCCAGTCAAACTGAGGTGAGGAATGTCTGATGCTGGATGGGCAGCCAGTGAATTGGGTGATATTATAACCTTCCAGGCAGAGTTGGCGTAGGCAGTTAACATGTAGGCTCCATTATCCTGTGAGGGGAAGGTAGAGCTGTTAGGTTGGGGGTATCTGGCTGACCTGTGGATGTAGGGATCACACCACTGGCCTGCTTCTCTGTCATAATGACTTGTTCTGACTTTCGGGGATTGTTACTACCCCTGTCATTCTTTTCTCTCAGCTTCACGTCCACATTGTCTTTGATGGTAACCGTGTGTTCCAAGCACAGATGAAGCTCTGGGGGGTAAGTGAAGATAAGGGGGCATAGGAAGGGGAGGCTGATGGGGTGAATAGGGGGTGTCTTGAGGGAAAGAGTGTAGTGGGAAAGTGGAGGTTTTCTCTTCATTTGCTTTGATGTTCTCTCCCTCTCTCTCTCTCTTTCTCCCTCTCCTCCCCCTCCCCTCTCCCCTTGCTTTCCTCTCTACCTTCCTATGATCTTATTCCTCCCCTATATTTTCTCCCACCTTACCTTTTAAAATTTTTCTCCCTGTCATTCATCACCACCTCACCCTGATCCCAATCGCTTGGATTTCCTCATTTTCTCTTCTGTGTTCCTCTATCTTTCCCTCCTCCTCAGGTCATAAACGTGGAGCAGAGCTCTGTCTCCTTGATGCCATCTCGGGTTGAAATCTCCCTGGTGAAGGCTGACCCAGGATCCTGGGCCCAGCTGGAGCACCCCGATGCACTGGCTGAGAAGGCTAAGGCAGGGGTTGGGTTAGAGATGGATGAGGAAGAACCTGAGGATTCAGATGATGATCTGAGCTGGACAGAGGAGGAGGAAGAGGAGGAAGTGATGGGGGAATAGTGACACCAGACAGTTAAGTGTCTAGATAGGCTCTCAGTGACTCCCTTAGGTTGGCCCTGTGGTGTCATTGAGCAGCAGGAGGCAGAAGGAGGGGAGAACAAGTGTCCAAACCATGCTGTTTTTTCCCTTAAATAAATCTTGTATTCTGCAGTTTCACATAGTGTCGTTCTCTCACCTCACTATCCAAGACTATATCCACTCCCCCCAACTTCCATGTGTGTTCAACACACATGGGTGAAAACAAGCACATGCACATTCAGTCTGTTCTTCACAACCACCAAGTATTTACTGAGTACTTACTGTGCACCCAGTTATGTGTTAGGTGGTTTAGAGGTATCTGAGAAACAGGCTTATTCATTCCTCTCCAGAAAATTACAGTCTGGCTGACAAGTCAAGGCTATTCTCCATGAAATAATAATAAACATTATCAGGTAGTTTAACTGAATGCTACATTGTACAGTACAGTTTTTAAAAATCGTAGGAGTTGAGAGAATGGAGTGATTAATGTGGACTGTAGTAGAAAGGGAAAGCTCCGTGGAAGAAGTACATTTTTTACAGCTTTACTGAGATACAATACACATCCCATACAATTCACCCATTCAAAGCATAAAATTCAGTATTTTTTTAGTATACTCAGACTTATGCAACCACAATCAATTTTAGAATGTTTTTATCACTCCAGAAAGAAACCCTGTACCCATTATGAGTCACTTCCTAATTTCACCCCAAATTCATAGCTCTAGGCAACCACTCATCTATCTTCTGCCTCCATGGAATCATACATTATGTGGTTGATTGTGACAGGCATCTTTCACTTAGGATAATATTTTCAAGGTTCATCCATGTTATAACATGTACCAGTACTTCATTCCATTTTTTTGCCAAATAATATTTCACTGTGTGGATATACCACATTTTGTTTATCTCTTCATCAGTTGAGGTACATTTGGGTCATTTCCACTTTTTGGCTATTATGAATAATGCTCCTATGAACATTCATGTTCCAGTTTTTATGTTGACATGTTTTCATTTCTCTTGGATATATACCTAGGAGTGTAATTTCTGGGTCAGGTGGTAACTTTTAGCCTTTTGAGGGACTGCCAGTATGTTTTCCAAAGAGGCTGCACCATTTTACATTCCCACCAGCAGTGTAAGAGGGTTCCAATTTCTCCACATCCTGGATAACACTTGTTTGTCTTTTTTTTTTTTTTTTTTTTTGTCGCCATCTAGCAGGTGTGAAGTGGAATCTCACTGTGGTTTTAATTTGCTTTTCCCTAATGGCTTATGATGCTGAGCATCTTGACAAGTGCTTATGGGACATTTGTGTATTTTATTTGGAGAAATGTCTATTCAGATCCTTTGCGCATTTGTTAATTGGGTTGTTTTTCTTTTTACTGAGTTGTAAAAGGTTGTTTTTTTAAAAATGTATTCTGGAGACAAGTCTGTTTTCAGATATATGATTTACAAATATTTTCTCCCATTCTGTGTGTTGTCTTTCCACTTCCTTGATGGTGTCCTTTGATACACAAAAGTTTTTCATTTTTATTAAGTCTAATTTATCTGTTTTTCCTTTGGTTGCTTGTGTTTTTGATGTCATATCCCAGAAACCATTGCCTAATGTCATGAAACCATGCCAAGATCATGAAAATTTACTCCTATGTTTTCAACTGAGAGTTTTATAGTTTCAAAGACCTTACATTTAGGTCTTTGATCCTTCTTGAGTTAGTTTTTGTATGTGGTATAAAGTAGGGGTCCAACTTTATTTACATTTTGCATATGGATATCCAATTGTCTCAGCACCATTTGTGGAAAAGACTGTTCTGTCCCCATTGAATTGCCTTGGCACCCTAGTTGAAAATCAATTAACCATAACTGTGAGGGTTAAGAAATGCATTTTGAATGGAAATTTGAAGAATGAGACATTTGGATGGGTATGGAAGAGTAGAGAGAGCCAAGCTTGGGTAGGAAGGTGTTTTATTTTACTTTTTGTGTTTTGTTTTAAATTCCAAAAACAATACATTGTTACTGTAAAAGACTCAGTGAAGAAGTAAATGCTTCTCTTCAGAATCTCTCCAAGCTTAGTCCTTTTGCTGCTTGTAACCACTGCTAACATATCAGAGGGTATGTTTAGGGGAGGGAACAAAAAAGTTAAGTGGAGTGTGGTTGGATTGGGAGGAGCTTAAAATTCTAGATCAAGGATTTAAAAGAAAGTTTAAAAGGCACAATAGACCGTTTCTTTTTTTAATTTTGTTTTAGTGAGTTATAGTCAGTTTACAATGTTGTGTCAATTTCTAGACCTTTTCTTTTTAACTGTAGATTCTTAATCAGAGGAGTGATGTCTCTTTTTTGAGTCTCCCTTGAGTCAGATTTACTCCCTCAACAGGGTGGCCAAGAACCTAGGAGATTCAACCTCCAAGAAACATCAAACTAGGAAGCTCACCAAGCCTCAGATGGTCTTAAGTATTTTTCATAGCCCCCTCTCCTCCCAGGTCAGATTCAAGGAACATAAGGTTTCACTGGGAGCTAGAAGTGAAATGAGGGTGGGAGAGTGGACATGGGCAGCAAAGATGAGGGATCACAGCATAGCATAGCTAAGGATTTGGAGATTGAGGCAAGATAAGGGGATATTAGGGAATGCATCCAAAGGTATGACCTCCACCTTGCAGAGAAGTTTGATCAGAGGTAAAGGGATTTCCTGGACCTCCAGGATATTCAACAATTCTGGATCAGCTCTCTGCTCTCATTCTGTGGATTTGAAGAGCAAATCAAGTTTCCCCCTTGAACCAAACCCTTCAGATCCTTTCTAATCCTGGCAACAGCTTACTTTTAATGTCATTTTTCTGCGGGTGAGTTAACATCAATAGGGGCTTTGGAGGACTTTTTTTTAAAATGTAGAGGTGTAAAATGTATATAGAAGAGTGCATAAAGTGCACTAATATTAAATGTCCAAATTTTTTTCTATCTTATCAAAATCAGGGGACCAGCAACTACTCAGAATTCCTGGAGAGGATGGAGGTGAGGAATCAAAAAGTTCAAGTAACGCTTGTTGGATATAAACTTGATATAAAAAACTTCAAATTTGCATCATTAGTAAAGTAATGTGCTAGCTCATTTTACATAGCCCAAAGTCCAGAATGTAAGAAAGTTTCAAACAGGTGTATAACATTATTAACGACAACAATAACAATAACCACAGCTACCACTTCTGATACAAGCTAACCTGCCAGTCACTATGCTAAATGCTTTGCATGTATTATCTCATTTAATCCCCCACTTCCCACCATCAAATCTACATATTTGTTCACAATAGCACAAATCCTCTCCCTACCTCCTTTTGTACTTCTCATTTCATAGTATCCCATCCCTTCACACCTTCCCAGAAACCTTATACTATTTTTTTTAACATTTTTTATTGAGTAATAGTCATTTTACAATGTTGTGTCGAATTCCAGTGTAGAGCACAATTTTTCAGTTATACATGAACATACATATATTCATTGTCACATTGTTTTTTTGCTGTGAGCTACTATAAGATCTTGTATATATTTCCCTGCACTATACAGTATAATCTTGTTTATCTATTCTACATTTTGAACTCCCAGTCTGTCCCTTCCCACCTCCCCACCCCCTTTGGCAACCACAAGTTTGTATTCTATGTTTATGAGTCTGTTTTATACTATTAATTATCCTTTCTCTTTCCTGCTTGTTCAACCTTTCCCTCTCATTGGGTATTTTCATTGACATTTAAACATGCTCCAGTTTCTCCAATCTTAAAAAAACAATTTCTCTTGACTTCACATCCCTCTCCAGCTACTGTTTAACTCCCTACTTACCTTTATAACCAAATTTCTTGAAATAACCCCTCTTTTTCCATTTCCTTCTTCCTACTCCGTTCACAGCATACTTCGATCTGACTTCCAACCCCCTCAATCTGTGGTGGTAAGGTCTCCATTGGCCACCAAGTCACTAAATCCAATGGATACTTTTAGTCCTCATCTCACTTGATCTCTCAAGCAAAATTTGACATTCGTGATGGTTTCTTTCTTGAACTACATTTCCTACATTGGCTTCTGTGACTCACCACTCCTCTTGCTTGTCTTCCTACTTCTCTGACCATTCCTTTCAGTCTCCTTTACAGGCTCCTCCTCTTCTACCTGGCATTCCAGTGATGAAGTTCCTCAGGACTCAGTCTAGGCTTGGTCTCCATGTATATAACTCCCTTCTAGACACTTTCAGTTAGGCCCATGACGTAAAATACCACCTACATGCAATGACTCACACATTTTTATCTCTAGGCCATATCTTTCCTTTGAGGTCCAGATCTGTGTATTATAATAATAATAGCTAATGCAGATTTAGAACAGTGTCTGGCATATAGTGAGTACTATATAAGTGTTTGCTATTATTAGTACCACTACTACTGCTCTTTCTCTTCACCAAAAGCTTGCACCTCAGCCTATTGGGAAGGTTGGGGTGTTTTTTTTTTCCCTCAGAGAGGAAGGACACATCTCTAATATTCACTTTTTTATTTCAGTAAGAAAATAGGATTTTCTTGACTGTCAGGTTTGCTACTCTATAAAGTGATAACATATTTACCATACCATTGCATCAACTTCAGGATTAAGGAAAATTGTATTCACCTGCTGAGGGAGTAAAGTATCATGTATAGAATGCCACTGTGCAGGGCACTTCTACCCACATTATTTTACTTAATCCACACACCTGCTCTGTGAGGCATTATTATCCCAAATTCTTATAGATGAGGAAACCAAGGCTTAGAGAAAGAAATAGCTTGCTTGAGGTCACACAGCTACTGATTAAAACCTCAGTCATTGTCCTAGAGCCATCTGAGAAGATCCAAAACCTAAGGACCCAACTGGGATCTTAGAAGAGGAGCTTGATACCACACACCTCTAGCCCAGCAGAGTCTCTTTGAAAAGCCTGCCTGGGAACCAGTGAGGCCCTTGGTTGATCAGTGATATCTCACATTGATTTAATGCTTTTCCAAACCACTTTTAGTCTCTGATCACCTCATCCCTAACCTCAGCGGGATCTCTAGAGGTACTTTACCTCTCACTTCATCCAGATCAGTAATTATCTCCCAGTTACACCAGATTCAGTGTTACTGACTCTGGGACCCCTGCCTTTCTGCTCCTGAAGTCCCAGAACACTGCCAGAGGGAGAACCAAGCAGACCAATATAAATTCACACTGTCCAATTTCAACTTGGCCCTTGCAGCTGCTCAGCAACCCTTCTATTTGTCTCATACATTCCCTGGCACTCTCCCCATGGAGGCTGTTCCAGACCTTCCTCTTTTTCCCCAAACCACAAATTCCAATCTCCCTGCCTCTACTTCCACAGATTTCACATTAGATACTTTCATCAGATTAACTGTCCCTCCTGCAACAAATCAATAATATCTTTCTCCATTTCAACCCTGTCCTCTAGCCATCCAATTCCCTTCCTGGGAAAACAATCAACATTCTTGATCTCTTATTTATCCTTTCAGAGATATTTTATGACTCTACCAGCAAAAATATGGAAAAGAGGGAACTTGCACTGGTCATTAATGATATGTAGGATTTTGATAAATGGAGAGAATGGAGATGATATTCCAAGCAGAGGAAACATTCTGGGCAAAGGCACAGAGGTGGAAATGAATAAGATATATTTAGAAAATAGGGTATAGCAAGTAGAGTAATCCCCTGAGAAATAATCCCAGCTGCCGCCTCAAGTGCTTCCTCTCCTTTTCTAGTTCTGAATTCAGCCTGATCATTGCTTCCCTGACTGTCCTGCTCTACATACCAGCAGAGTAGAAATCTGACACTACATGGCCCCTCACCCATCCTCTCTTGCCTGGACCTCCGTTACTATTTATTGAGCTTTGACCCCAACCATCTGTTTCAGTCCTGCTAAAGAGGTCCTAGCTCCTTCCTGAGTCACTCTACGGGCCAGAGAGCTTCCACTTCTTTGATCACATGGACAATTTCCCCACAACACTGAAAACAGGTCAATGAATATAGAGTATGCATTGTACAGACATTATTGGTCTTACATACAACAAACAGAGGTCAAGGAAACATGTTAATCTATACAACAGAGATGTAATTGGCAAAATCCAGACTGTGAAACTCTACTGAAAAACAACCCAACTTCCCCAACAAAAAATTGTAAGGATAAAAAAAAAGACGACGGGGAACTTTCAGTTTAAAAGTGATATATAATACATATCCACCAATCACAATGTGTGGACTTTATTTGGATACTAATTCAAACAAAAACTGAAAAAATTCTTCTGACATTTTTGAAAGTATTGGAAATTTAAATACTGACTTGGTATTTGATGATATTAAGGAAATATTGCTTGTTTATTTTATTTGTGCTAATGGTATTACAATTATGCTTTTTTAAAAAGAACCCTTACCTTTTAAAGATATATACTGAAATATTTAGGTATGGAATGATGTCGTATCTGGGACTTGCTCCAAAATATTATGGGGTGGAGGAAATAGATGAAACAAGAGTGTCTAAGAACCAATACTAGTTGAAGCTGAGTGTTTGGTAAATGGGGATTCATTATACTATTCTGTCTACTTTTGTACATGTTTTAAATTCTCCATTAAACAGTTTTTTAAAATGTCGTTGAATTGTCAAGATCTGATGAAAGTGCGTGTACTAGTCTGAAGGAGTGGAACAGGAGGAGCTGGAATTTGAGAA